CATCTTTTTCCTTTTTTTTGCTATCTAAGTACAGTGATTTATATACAGTACAGGGGTGTTTCCCTTGGAAAACAAGGTGCAAACACTTGGTAAGTGATTGGTAACTGATGAGTAAGGAATGTAAGCAATGGGTAATCATCTTGGAAAGCATTGGTAAGCATTGGTAAGGATTAGCAAGCCAGAAGGGGAAGAATCAGTAAGCAAAGTCAAAAGATTGGTAAGTATTGGCAATAGGTGAGTCAAAGACAGTCAGAACATCAAAGTATGAGTCAAGTGATGTCAGGAACTGAGAAAGCACACTGGAATCACATTAGGGGGAGGCTGTGCATGTCACATCTCAAAGAGATCACTTCTAGGCCAAGGTGGGATGACAGAGAGGCAGCACCAATCTGATACCGATATAGTACATCCAAAAGTGGACAGGGCAAGTCAGATGTCAACAGGGGTCAAGCTTTGGGGGTCTGTGGGGTGACAGGAGCATAGGGGATCACAACTTTCCCCCCCAAACCATCCTCTCAGTGAAGCAAATAAAAACTTCATGAATGAGGCTCTGTTGGAAGAGAGGATGAATGGGGAGTGTCTTCTGCTGTATCTTGCAACAAGGAGGCAAGATGTGCATCATACTCATCATGGATGCAATCAGGGAGAGTGGGGAACAGTAGATTATACTGTAGCTGTTGCAATCTTGGAAGAATGATGGATGAGGCCAGTATGAAGACATTGCAGGGAGCAGGGAGGAAGGATCCATATGCTTCTTGGACTGGAGAGACTGAAATGACCACACAAGACCTTTCCAAGCAAATGACAGACCTGAGGTGACCAAAGAACATCCTCCTAGAGGTCATACTGACAAAAAGAACATGCTGTCCAAGCTGGATGGGCTGAGAGGGCACAGATGAGGGTGGGATGTACCAGGATGCTTCAGGATGGAAGCTGGTAGGAACTCTTGGTAGATATATGTAGCCATGGTCCCTAGCAAAGGGGACAAGTGAAATGATTGATGTAGAGGCAGCCATATCAGAAGAATTTAGCAAAATGAGCATCTTTTGGAGGGAGTGCTGTAGAAATGTGTGGAGTGTGCAAATCCTTTCCAATTTTGGAAGGTAAGACTGCATGGCTGAGCACTACAAGCAAGTGTGGGAATAGTCTCTGTATCTGCAGAAATGGTGGAGATATGTTGAAAACTGGAATGCCATACATGGGTGCTTAAGAATTTTAGCCAGTGCTTAACTCACTCCCTTTCTTTTTCTCTGGCACTGATGACTTGCTCTTGTGCAAGAGATGACTGCTGACATTCCTGGCTGTCCTTCTTCGCATGAGGGCTATGGTCTTCATCTCCATTCATTGGCTGTATCCATGTCCACCTCACCAAACACCTTTGGTGTGTGACATTGGGGGGATCCAAGTAAACAAGACCTTCTACGAGGTGCTTGATGTATTATTCTCAAGCACAGGCTTTCTAGGATGGGGTACTGTTTGTTACCTCACATGCTACAATGGGGAATACTACGTCATCAAGGATTATTGGGTGGAGGAGTCAGAGCAGAGGACAGCCCTGCACAAAGTCAACATGATGAAGCTGGTCCAGGACATCGATGGAGTCCCCAAGTTGCAACACTACTGGGTCATCAAGGTCAAGCCAGGCATTGTCGATAAAACTGAATGATATCATGATGAGAAGTGGCAATCATGCATGAAGTCCCAGAGAACTCACATGCAATTGGCTATGAAGCCATGTGCAAGGCCAATGGTAATATTCAAGACAAAAAAGGGACTCGTTTCATGCATCTGGGATATTTTATGAAGTACATATCCTCTTCCACTTGTAAAATCAATACTAGTTGCTTTAACAGTCCAACAGCAGGCTCCTGAGAGGGGTGTCCTCCATCAAGATTGTAGCATCAACAATACAATGATTGAGGACTTCACAAATGGGTTGCACAGCTTTCTCCTCAACTGGGAAATTGCTGTACAGGTCATGTTGCAGGGGGAATATGACTTGGGTGGCACAGTAAGTACTATGCAAAACATTTTGGAACTCGAAGCTGATAGTATGCAAAGGGGACAGTCCCCTTCCTTTCAGTGAATATCCTTTGCCAACTCAAGGAAGCCATCACTAAAAGTGGAAAGACTAATGTCCCATCAATCTGGAAAAGCACCTCTCTCACCCACGTATTCATTGATCACCCTACTACTATACACCATACATTTGTGGACAATATCAAATCCCTGTTCTATGTTTTCATCTGGATCCTCATCCTTTATGATGGCCACTTGGCCATGAGCGTCAAGATATCAGCCATGAAAAGACACTTCTTGGCTTGTGGAGTGAAAAGGCAGCTGAAGATCTTGAAATCACCAGATGTGCCAAGTTCACATTCCTTAATGACCTGTCCGAATTGAGGCTGGATTCTGAGGTCTCACAATATTTTCAAGATCTAATCCCTCTGGCTAACAAGTGATGCATATTGCTTGGGCAGTCCCTGCTGAGTGGAACTGCAGTGCAGTTCTCCAACATTATCTCCCTTTTTGATCATTTCTTGGCCAGCATGCCATACAAGAAACCACTGGAGATGATGAATGCATTCCAGCAGACCATTGCCCAGCACAAAGCACTTAATTCAAGCATGTGTCAAAGTCAGGAGAATGATATGGATGTTATGTCTTTGGCAATTATGTCTTCTAAATGCCTTTGTGAAGAGGTAAGGAGCATGGATAACCCTCCTATACCCAATAAATGCTTCAAAGGCATGTAGTCTTAGCATGAATTTTATGTTTAGTTCACGTTCTGTATGTTACATGTAAAGTGTTTCAATTCATTTGCAGCAGGTAACTGTCTCTGCATGTCATTTCATTTTATGTCTTGCAATGAACCTGTCAACGTTTATATGGATTCACAAGATGTCATTTTGTCATGGTCCCCAGGCTTCCATCTTATACTGTTCTCTGTTTAACTGCTTGTACCTTCAGATGTCCACCCAATCTGGAACAATCCTGCTGAAAAAGAAGGATAGCAAAAAAGCCAAATGATGACCAGAGGCCAATGGAAGCACTCGACCCACAAAAAACAAGTGTCTAGGAAGCCCACCCATCGATCTCGAAGAGTCTCAGTCTGTTGCCACAGCAGGACTCTGTCATAGCAGAAGGGCAGGGGCAGGTTCAGGTGGAAGGGCCGAACAATTGGAGTGGATTGGTACTGCCCTTGAAGGCCAAGCTACATGGCCATGAAAGTCAACAGATCTCCCCAACAATTCCATTGTAAATCCTCTTGCACCTCCTCCCACTCAGCAGAAAAAGGGTGGGGGCCACAGTGCTGGCCAGAATGCAAAACTGAAGGTCAGTTCTAGTTATTTGCAAATATCAAGCTAACTGCTTGCAAAGTCCAATGTTGCCCCACCACCCTATGTGCCTCCCATTGTGAATGGTCCTAGCCCAGCTGATATGCCTCCAGTGAGTGTCTTTTCATACTGATATACAATGTTCATTTCAGAATCCCATCCCTCAGTCTTCAACAGCAGTAGCAACACCTGTCTTCCATCAGCACCCCACAGACTCCCATCACTTTGGTTTCAGTGTTCCAGCTCAACAGCCAGGTCATATCATGCCTCCCAGGATGGAACCTGACCTTCAAGTGCTCAATAATCCTTATATTGCTGCAATTCAGGGAGACCAAGTTCCCAGTAATACATCTCATCCACCAACACCCCAGCCCAACTACCAGTCTTGGTTTATCCCCCACCAGCCACCTGCTACTGTCCATGACTCTTGTATCGACCCCTCCCTTGATAGCTCACTCTCATCATGACAAACTTTGGCAACTGCTGATGTTCACCACAAGAGTTTGGAGAAGCTGTCATCAGAGGGCTCCTCAGAAGAGGAGTTGGAGGATGATGCAGCTCTGTGAAGCAGCTTACAATCCAAGGACAAGGCTCAGCCAGAGGTACAAAAATGCCATTCCTGCTAGCTTTATTTATTCAGATTGTTATTTTAGGGTTCCCAATGTGGTGCTGTCATTGATGTTCTTGAATGCCACCATCACACCAACAGCCATCCCATTCCTGATCATGATCTTCTGACCCTTGCACATGACTCAGTCAATGAAGTATCTCAGTGTGCCAGAGCCCCTCATAACTCCAAGAAAGCTAAGGATGAGGGCCCATTGCCTTCACAACTGAGATTTTACAAGGCAGTATGGAAGGACTGTCTTGAAGATGCTAAGCAAGAATGCAGGGCTGCACATGCACTTTCTAACCCATTCCCATCAAAATCTCATGACCTCAACCTCTCCATAACAGAGGTGCTTGTCACTGTCATTGTTGAGTGGAATCAACATGGTGTGCAATTTGAAGATGGTGAGTAACAATATTTTCGCTTTATACATGTCTCATTATCCTAACTTTATAGGTTACTAGCCTGACCACAAGCAAGATATGGCATGCCTCATAAGTAGTCCCATCTTTCAGTTACAGCTACTGACATACCACTGGTAGCTCCTTGGTGATATATCTACCTGGCATTCAGAATTGAAGTTGGTTATGCTGGCAACCACACCATCCACATTCAACCTTATCCCTCCTTCTGATGTTGCACCACAGGTTTGTGTACAATGGATAGAGACTGCTGCCACAAAGCTCCTTGACAACTCACTTTTCCTGCAAGATGGTTTCAATGAGAATGTATGTTCATGCAGTTCATTGTCTGCACTACTAATGGATTGGTTTATCAGGGAAAACCAGGAATTTCACTCACCCTGCCATTAAGGAAGCTGTCATACAATTCTACTATACTGGGACCTATCGAATCATGGATAAGCATCCTGAGTCCTTCAACAATTCAGTTCCCCTCTCCTGTCTGGCTCTTGTTGCAGCCATGGTGAGTTATTTTACACCCTGAGTCACTGCAACTCAAACTTTTCTCACAGTATCATTGTGTGTTGGACAGATTTGTGAAGAACAGCACAGGAAAGACAATGCCTCAATTCTCCAGCAAGGCTTACAATTCCATTTTCCATGGCATGATGAAGGTGCTGAATGACATCCTTCATAATCCCTATCACAGCATGAGGTTGCACAATCAGCTTTCTCAGTGGGCAAAGGAAGGATGGTAAGTACTGGGGTGGCCAATGTGCTCATGCTGACTCCTCATATCAGGGCTGCACTGCAAGAGGTTGATTCAAATGTAGAGAGGTACCAGCACATTCAGGCAGTCCTTGATTGATTTCATAATACCTAGTCCTGTCATACCTGTCATTACACATAGTATGCAATTGATGCCAATGCTCCTGTTCCTGTCATACCTGCTGTGAACTGTTCCTAGTTGTGGAGTGATCACATGTTTGCAAAGTAGACATTGAGATGGGGAGTACTGGCCAACACCCCAAGGAGAATACAGTCTGGCCAGTTTTGTACAGTGATATCTAAGCATGAAAGTTCCATAGCAATCCATAGTAAGTAAGATATTGGACAAAGTTCCATGACAATGTGACCATTCCATAGTAACAGGCAACTAGCCATAGCAAAAAGTGTTGTTGGGTGCATCTGTCCAGCCTGGACCTAGCTAGGGGACTCTGTGTATTATGGAGCACTGTGGAGAGCTCCACAGCTCAAAGTGATTTACTGATGCACAGCAGGTGATTGTGGACAGATGCTGATGATGTTGTCTCCCACACTTGTCAACTTGGCTTTGGTAGTATGTGAGTGGAGCCATGGCAGGTGGTGGTGGATCCATGCTGACTGTGTTCACTCCGCCCTTGTCCAATTGGGTTCATAGAGGGTATGTGGAGCCTTGTCAAGTTGTGGTGGTTCCATGGTGACCAATCTTGCTCCCACCATTGTCCACTTTGGTTGATAGTGAGTGAGTGAAGTCATGGCAGGTGTTGGAGGATCCATGCTGATCATGTGTGCTCCCATCTTTGTCCACTTGCATTGATAGATTGTGAGTGGACTCATGGTAGGTGGTGGTGGAACTGTGCTGACCATGTTTGCTCCCACCCTTGTCCACTTGTATTGATAGCAAGTGAGCAGAATCATGGGAGCTGGTGGTGCATCCATGCTGACTGTGTTTTCACCAACCTTGCCCACTTGGATTGATAGCCTGTGAGTTGAGCCATGGAAGGTGGTAGTGGATCCATGCTGATCATGTTTTCTTCAACCCTCCTTCATTTGGGTTGGTAGATTGTGGGTGGAGTCATGGGAGGTGGTGGTGGATCCATGCTGACCATATCTGCTCACACCCTTGTGCATTTGGGCTGATAGCAAGTGAGTGGATCCAAGCTGACCATGTTTCTTCCAACTTATCCACTTGGATTGATAGCCTGTGAGTTGAGCCATGGTAGGTGGTAGTAGACCCATGCTGACCATGTTTCCCTCCATCCTTGTCCACTTGAGTTGATAGATTGTGAGTGGGGTCATGGCAGTTAGTGGAGGATCCATGCTGACTGTGTTTGCTCTCACCCTTGTTCACTTGGGCTGATAGAGAGTGAGTGTGGTCATGGCAGTTAATGGAGGATCCATGCTGACTGTGTTTGCTCTCACCCTTGTTCACTTGGGTTGATAGAGAGTGAGTGGTGTCATGGCAGGTGGTCAATGCTGACCATATTTGCTCCCACCCTTGTCCACTTGAGTTCATAGCCTGTGAGTGGAGTCATGGTAGCTGGTGGTTGATCCATGTTAAATATGTTTGCTGCTGCACCTGTCCACTTGGGTTCATAGATTGTGAGTGGAGTCATGGTAGGCAGTGGTGGATCTATGCTGACTATGTTTGCTCCCATTCTTGTCTGCCTGGCTTGATAGCAAGTGAGTGGAGTTATGGCAGGTGGAGGTGGATCCATGCTGACCATATTTTCTCTCAACATCGTCCACTTTGGTTGACAGCAAGTGAGTGGAGTCATGGTATGTGGTGGTAATCCATGCTGACCATGTTTGTTTCCATTGTCATTCACTTTGGTTGTTAGCAAGTGTGTTAAGTGATGGTACTTGGTGGTGGATTGATGCTGACTATGTTTGCTCTCACCTTTGTGTTGTACCTCCACCTGTTATGCAACTTGATAATCCCTAAGATGTTTACATGTATGTCAGTTCAAATGAAGAAACCTTCCATTGGTGGTGCAATCAGTCTATGGTTTTTTACATGATCAACCATATCCTACTGTTTTTTTCAGTTAACACCCAAACTTGTTTCAGCAGTGAATATGTATCTAAGTGCCCAGGATTAGGGATCTGCATGGGTATCCATAACCTGTATGGGTGACTGTACCCTTATCTGTGTCTACAGGTATGGGTCTGAGTTCCAGATCCATGATGCCTGGTACCCCTACCCACACCCATGATGGTGGGTCTCCCATAGGTATGTCAATGTAGTGTATATTATGTAAGCTTTTTGTGGTGTTGATTTGCATCCCAAAGCACTATTGTAATTGAAGATGCCCATATTCACATACAACCAGTATGTCAAGTCTGGGGATACTGGGGTCAAGACCAGTCTAGAGTCCAGCACTAGCACAAGGCTGAGAGGGCAGGAAGCAGATGGAAAACAAGGGAAAACAGAGGGCAGATGATGTATTGATTGGACTTAGTGAGAGTGCAGTGCTATTCCCTTATGTGGGCTGCAGTCCAAGTCTGGGGCCAAGATGGGGTTCAAAATAAGACTTAGTTAATTTCAGACCAGACTATGGGCTAATCTGATACAAACTTACACAGCAAGCATTTTACAATTTTCTTTGCAGAAACATGGGGAAACAAGTGGAAATAATCTTATGTATTGAATAGCGTTTCTGACAGAAAACATGGCATAGTAGATGTCCAATGTTTTACTAGTGAAAAACAATCATCAAAAAAAAATTAATACTGTTTTCTGCATGTTATGTAATTGATTAATCAAATGTAGTACCATGAAATAATTTAAACACACTGGTCATTAGAGAACATGTGATGTTACATAGAACATCACAAGTAAATGATAAATGTTTTGTATGTGATAATACTAATAAACTTTAACCAAGTCTTTCAATGTTGACCCACAACACATCAGATTATTTGCTCAATGTTTACTTCATAAACACAACATTTGAAACAATATTTGTTATGTGCAAAAACATGCTACTGAGATTCCATATTCACACTGTTTTGTCTTCCAGAGAACATGATAAATAAAGAGTGTATTAAAGTGTCCTGTGGTACCACAGAGCATGATAAGTGGCATCTGTAACCATCAATGCTATCACTACTTGTCCTTGCTCAACCACCCCATCACATGCTGTCACATGATCCTATCAGTCATGATATGTGCCACCTGACTTTTTATACTTGGGTATTCTGTGTCCTTTCACATAGTGTAGTCACATTTAGTCACAACACATAGGCAGCCTGTGCACCAAAACACCAACACTTATATAGACCCTGAGATGGGCCTGCCTAAATAGATTAGCTGGTACACATGGACAGGCCCAAGGGACTAAAGTGAGAGCAACATATGTACAGACCTGTAAGTGCATTACCACAACATATGGGAGGGCCCATGGTGGGTAAGGATGTTGAAACATTTAGACAGGCCCATGACCAATTAAGTATACTGAGTTGCTGTAAGAAATGGATGGGCCCATTCTGGTAGGTTACACTCCTGTTGCAACATCAAGGTGGGCCTGCCAATCATAACATGGAGAGGGTCACAACATAAGGACAGGCCCATCAGTAATGTCATTTCATAATGTCACAACATATAGATGGGCCTGTCACTGGTATCATTTAATAGAGTCACAACATAAGGTTGGGCCTGTCAGTAGTATTATGCAACATATGGATGGGCCCTTCAGTAGTCTTATTTATATCATCACAACATATGGGTGGGCCCAGCCCCAGTAAGATGTACCCTGTCAAAACATAAAGATGGGCCCATTAGTAATGTTGTTTAATAGTGTCACAACATATGGATGGGCCCATCAGTAATATCATCTAATAGTGTCACAACATAAGGACAGTCCCTTCAGTAGTATCATGTATATTGTCACAACAAATGGACAGGCCCATCTAGCAAGATGCAGCCCTGTTGCAACATAAGGACAAGTCTTTGTATGGTATTCTTAGGCAGCAGAAAGGGAGATCCAAGCTATCTACATAAGGATGGTCCATGTAAGGCATTCTCAGGCAGCAGAAAGGGAGATCAAAGGGATCTACATAAGGACAGGCCCATCCATGGTATTCTCAGGCAGCAAATAAGGGAAAACAAAAACCAGTGTTACAACATAAGATGGGCCAATCTGTCCATCACAGGATTACAAACCCTTGGCACTGCATAAGATGGGCCAATCCATCATATCATAGATAGCTCACCACAAATGGACAGGCCTATCCATAATTGGGTTATCCCCCTGTCACAATATAAGACAGGCCCAGGAAGACAAGAAATGAAGGAAGTGGAACCTCTTGCACTATAAAGTATCTGAATTTCCCACTATAAATTGTGTTGCACATTGGACAATTTGCCTATTCAGTTGGAATCTCAGGTGCTGGTCTATGTAGCTGCAAGCCAGGCTCCACCATTGGAGCAGACAGGAAACATGCAAAACAAAAATGCTATTCCAGAACAACACATCATATTTTCATCTGAGCCTCTGCTTCATATATGCATTCAGGATTATTGACTTGTACCAGGGAATCATTCATAGGCAGGATAAAAAAATGCAACATCTGCATATCTTGTCATCTGTCTTTAACCTCTGACTCTTCCACTCTCCAATCACCATCACCACTCTCACCATCAAACTACTCCATCATCTCATCATCAGAAACATGTCATCATCATTGTCTTGCAAGCTCTTCAAGAAATTGCCTGAGCTCAATGCTGTGGCCAACTGCATCCTTCAAATTTGCTTCAAGGATATTGCAGAAAGCAGCAAGCTGGGAAAGGCAGACAAGATTGCAAAGTGGAGAGGTGCCATCAAGGCAATAAATGATGATCTAGTGTGTCATAGTGTCATCACATTTTTTCACTAACTGATGCATTCAGGATGCTGTATGTGACCTCATCACTAGGACAGATGAGATTCTGATGACCCTCATCAGTGTTGACATGTTCTTAAAGTGGCATGAAAACCTTGGCTTGATCAAGCACCCATGGCCTGAGTGGATGACTGCCCTATCCCCTTCCAAAACCAATGTCACCCACCACAAGTGGCTTGACATTGTCAAGTGTTGATATGACTACCACTGGTTGGGCCTCCC